CACCTGCCCCATCTCTACCTTTGACTACTTCAGCTCTGAGAGGCCGAGCCTCCCTATGAGTCAGGTCTTTGCTCAGCCATGAGAAGAAGGTGATTGGCTGGGTCTGCCAGGGCTTTGTGACCCGCTAGCCAGACTCCCCCAGTCCCTCAGCACCCTTCATCCCTGCCTGCACATATTGCCTCCATGTAACCCCAGAATAACCTGATGTCTGATCCCAGGGGGCAAGGGAGAGCAATATCGCAGATTTTCCAAACAGGTGACTTTAGCTCCCCTGGGCCTGGACGGAAGGGGTAGCCCAGTGACAATGGGCATAGGCCCATGTCAGGAGCAGGAAACATTTGTCAGACTCCGCAGAGTTCTCTCTCTTCTGATCCCACAGCATCTGTTCCAGTTTTCCTGGCCGGTAGGATGGCATCTACAAAGCAGAATCTAAGAAAAATCTGGAGTTGGGGTGGTATCGTGGTCATAGGCCAACCTTTAGGAAGCCCAGGTGGCTCTTTCCAGGTCGAAGGGACAGAGAAAAGCACAGTGTGCAGTCCCCCCTGGACTGGCATCTTGGACACCCGAAGCTCATGTGCATTGGGCGCCTGCTTCTCAAACAAGTGCCTTGATTTCTCGCTGCCTGCCCCAGTAACGCTGATAACACTTACCTGGTGTTACTGTGTGCAGGCTCTGCTCAGCACTTTGTATACATGGCTCAGTTAATCTTCATATCAGCTCTAGGAGGTGGGAACTGTTACTGTTCCCATTTTATAGATGAGGAAACTGAGGCCCAATGTCAAACAGCTAGGATTGGGTAGAGCCAGGATTGAAACTAAAGTGGTCTGACTGGAGACCCAGTATTCTTTAAGCAGCATCCTCTAGAGCCTGCTGGCAGCACGCCCAGCACCCACTGCAGGAGGGAAAGACCTGGTGTGTCTTTCATTGCCATGCTGGGCAGAGGGTAGAGGCCTGGGAACGTCAGAGGGCTCCTCTAGGGACCAGAGAATTAAAGAAGACTGTGGGGCCCTGAATTATCTTCAAGATATATTTGTAGAAGACAGATTTCCACTGAAGACTGAAAAACAAAAAGCCAAAATTAGATTTGGTCTGGTGACAAGGTTCTTAAATATTACATGTGAAATTTCAGAGTTATGCAGACTTGGTTATGCTTTAGGAATATAAAGACCTAGATCTATGTGCAGTCCTAAGTATCTGGGAAGGAACTGGATGATCTCTCAAAACTCTTCCGGCTGTGGGATGAGATTTGGTCAAGATGACCATTTGCAAGGCCTAAGGCAGAATGACCGTCCGCTCCACCCCTCCTGATGAGAGCTAACACAGCCTTTCTGTCAGTCAATGAATCGTGACCCTAGCTTAGGAAATGATTTAGCAAAATCACCAGATTAAACCTCCTCAACCTTTCTGTCCCATGACTGCACCCCTGGGAGCAGGAGTCCAGACCCTGCAGAGCAGGCTTTCCCCAAGGTCACGTCCTCTGTCTAATCCTGAACGGTATTTCAAGGGCCCTAGAGGATGACATGTCAACCAAATTGGGGTTGTTTCTTGTGGCAGTCACCATGTGCCAAAGAATATGGTAGAAACATGGGGACTGGGTTGGAAGACCCCACTATTTAGCCCTGGAACAGAGCCTCCCCCCTCTGGCCTACTATTATCTCAGGGAAAGTGAAGAAGCCCTTGCTAAGGAGTATGTTAACCTCAGAGTTTTCTCAGACTATGTCTCCACTCTAATGGGAGGCGACTGGTCCACTTAGGGCCAGATGCTTGAGCAAATGCTTTATATACCTCTGCCCCTGGAAGCTGGTCTGATTTGAGTCTAGGCATGAGTCAGCCCCGAATAAAAAAAGTTGGACCCGTGGATAAGTTTAACATGTGACTTTGGGGAATAGGGAAGTTGGGTTAGTTTAGTCCCGAATCTTAGAGAAGACACAATCCTAAGCCATTCCTGTGGTCCAGCCCTTCTTAGAGCTGGCCAGGAATAAGCACTCCATCACCCCCCTGCCCTGGCACTACCAGCTTTTGACCCAGACAGGCTCCTCCATGGGGAACCAGATCAAATTTAGGGGCCCTCCTTTTCTAAATGAAGCTAGGGAGAGGGGGGTTGGAGGATGAGGAAACTTTTAAAGGAGTCTTTGCTCAGGACCTGGGTGCCACCTGCTGGCCATGATTTAGTTGTACTGTATTTACAGGGCCAAATCTGTAAGATTTGGAGAGGAAAATTAAGAGGGCACCCGGCCGTCCCTGTCATATGAGGGGTAAGGGAACTGCTTTCTTAGTGACCTTTGAACAAGTGTGACAGAGAATCCTTGCTGAGACCCCTGGTGCCTTGGAGGAATTCTTCTGAGCCAAAATGGACCCAGTCAGGGCAGGGGTGGCATCACTTGGAGACCCTGAAGCAGTCCTGAGTGGAGGCAAGGGCACTGATCCTAGTATCAGATGAGGACTGTGGTTCTAATCCCTGGTCTGCTTGGGCACCAGTATCACCTGCAGTGTTTTTTAAAATTACATATATGTAATATATGTATATGTATACATATGTATAAATATATATGATATACTATATATTCTACATGATGTATTATATTATACTAGAGGCCCAGTGCATGAATTTGTACACCAGTGGGGTCGCTTGTCCTGGCCTGCGGACCGGGCCGAAACTGGCTCTCCGACATTCCCCCAGGGGTCATGGATTGTGAAAGGGCACAGGCCAGGCCGAGGGACCCCACCAGTGCACAATCGGGGCCAGGGAGGGACACAGGAGGTTGGCCAGCCGGGGAGAGACCATGGGAGGGCTCCAGGGTGTGTCCGGCTCATCTCCCTCAGTCCTGATCTGCTGGACCCCAGCAGCAAGCTAACCTACTGGTCAGAGCGTCTGCCCCCTGGTGGTCAGTGCACGTCATAGGGAACGGTTGAGTGGCCTTAGCATATCATTAGCATATTACGTTTTGATTGGTTGAACAGCTGACCAGTCGACTGGACACTTAGCATATTAGGCTTTTATTATATAGGATAGTATTTTATATAGTTATATACATAACATATGGTCTATTATGTATGATACTATATAATAGATAATAAATAGAATAGTTACATATAATATGGATAGTTATTCACATATACACGCACACGCATGACTTGGGCTTCACTCCAGCCTATTGGCAAGTCTGCAGGAGAAGCTCAGGTCCTATCCCAGTGCAAAGCCTTGGGAGTGCATGGCTATGTGTCATTCCCTTTTGGTTCCAGACCAGACCTGATAAAGCAGCAGAATAGGTCTGGACAGGAAAGAGGGCTGGGTGCATTCTTCCTTCAGGGACACTTTGCATATTAAGCCTAGAGGAATATTCTTCACTCCAGAACTACGCACTGTCACAATCCTGAGTACATAGTCCTTCCGTCTATCTTCTGTTTCTCCGTTTCTGATAAAATCTAGTTACAAGAAATATTTCCCTCTTCCCTTCACAGTGCATGTCAGTGCTAACAGCTGGCACTTGGCCTTTGCTGGGAGATTGGGGGAGGGGCTTCCACCTGCTCTGCTCAGCTCCAACATAGGTTCTGTGCAGGGAGCACAGGCCCAGGATCGCTATAAGAGGCCAGAAGTCCCGAATTGTTTGCGTGACGCATCCCAACTTTAAAATAACGGGCACTAATTCAAAAATGTTTCCAGCACTGTGAGTGCTAGAGTTCAAGTCTGCAAGGCAAATTTTGCCAATGGGTGTCTCCTCTGTGACTGCTGATTGCCAGGGCTTTAAGCTAAGAGTGATGTGGCCAGGGCTGCGTTTAGGTAGGTTCTGACTGCAGTAGTGTCAGGGGGGTCTGGGGGAGACCGGAGGCTGGAAGGCCTTCCAGGAGGCTTCTGCTGGCCTTGGCCAGAGAATGTCCACATAAACCCCAAGGTGGCAGGAGAGATGGAGAAGATCAGGGCCATTGGGAGGGCAGAGTTGCAGGACTTGATTCAATATGAGGATGAGGGGGAGTGGGCTATCTAGCCTGGTGACTGGGTGACTGGTGGTGACATTCATGGGGATAATGAATACAGGAGCAGAAGCATGTCTTTTTTAAAAATATATATTTTTTTTATTGATTTCAGAGAGGAAGGGAGAGGGAGAGAGAGATAGAAACGTCAATGATGGAGAAAATCATTGATCGGCTGCCTCCTGCAGGCCCCCACCTGGGATCGAGCCCGCAACCGGAGCATATGCCCTTGAGTGGAATTGAACCCGGGACCCTTCAGTCCACAGGCTGATGCTCTCTATCCACTGAGCAAAACCAGCCAGGGCCAGCAGCATGTCTTAAGGTTCTGGACAAGCAGAATGTAGGTGCCCCTGGGTCAGCCAGCAGGCCACACGCCACAGGCCCCACAGGAATATGGAATCTGGTCAGGCAAAGGTTAGCTGGCTTTCTAAAACACAATCTGGCCAGGACAGTGTCTGCTTAAACACCTTCCCATTGGAGGTCAGACTCCTCCTCCCGTAAACAAAGTCCTTCGTGATCCCTGCCAATCACGCTGTGCCGTGCTCAACATGAGCCTGCTCCCCAGCTCCGCCAAGCAACTGGGAGCCCTGGAATAAGCCATGCCTTTGTTCATGCAGTGCCTTCTACATCCCTTTGTATGTTTGGAAAATTCCTACTCCTTCCACTCCACATCTCCGCTTGGAAGCCTTTGCTGGCCTGCCAAGCAGAAGCGGTCCCTCCCTGCTTTGTGCCGTCCCTGAACTTAGCATGTGCCCTGATGTGTGGGGATTTGCCTGTCTGTAAACTCCTTGAAGGAGTGACCACATCTTAACTTTGTTGCACCCGTTCTCAACACGCCTCTAGCATATAGGAGATGCTCATTAGATGTTTAAAGAATGAAGAGGTCCCCTCTCCAGGAGGGAAAATGCAAGGCTGTCTGGAGGAAGACAGCTCTCATTCCCCAGGGATCATCCCACGCCTGCTCTCCTAACAGCTAAAGAGCAGCACGGGCCCCTGGTGCTGACCTTGCCTCTCTTCATTCTTTGCAGCTGGGGTATGGCCGTCAATGTGTACTCCACATCCGTGACCAGTGAGAATCTGAGTCGCCATGATATGCTTGCGTGGGTCAATGACTCCCTGCACCTCAACTATACCAAGATAGAACAGCTCTGTTCAGGTAGGAGGCTGGGAGGGGGAAGTGGGCCCTGCTGGAGGGGAGGTGGGAGGCAAAACAGACACAGCAGAGACTGTAACTTGTAATTAGGGTTTAGGAGGAGAGCTGCAGAGCACTGAACTAGTCAGTGTTTGGAGCTGAAGGGCCTCCATGGATGGGGAAGAGCAGGAGGGGCGGGGCAATGGCACAGGCAGTGAAGCCAGAGGCTGACAGCAGAAGGGCCAGCCTAGCCACTCTGGGTCCAAACCTCAGCTCTTCTTGTAGTGCACCCTGGGCAATCACTACACCTTTCTAGGCCTCAGTTTTCCCATCTGTAAAATGGAGATTATATCACCTATCTCACTAGGATAACTGTTAGATTAGATTACATAATGTAGTGTTTGCTATGGTGCTGGCACATAATTGCATCAATAAATAGTAATTGCTCTTATTCTTGGAACGCTGGGGGATTCTGGCAGCGTCTATCCTGCGAGTAGGACTGGCCATGCCCCAGAACAAGGAGAGAAAAGAGGAGCTGGGTGGTTTGGGGGAGTAGGCCGGCAGAGGGGCTGGCTGAAAGAGAAGCAAGCAGCCTCGGCGGGGGAGCGGCCTGGACCCTCGGTCAGCCCTGCTTCTCCTCAGGGGCAGCCTACTGCCAGTTCATGGACATGCTCTTCCCTGGCTGCGTGCACCTGAGGAAGGTGAAGTTCCAGGCCAAGCTAGAGCACGAGTACATCCAGAACTTCAAGGTGCTGCAAGCCGCTTTTAAGAAGATGGGTGTTGACAAAGTAGGTGCCTGTGCCCCCCGGGGCCCTGAGGAGCTGTGTGACTTGGGGAAGAAGGTGGCCCGCCAACAGGGCAAAGGGCCATTCCATCTGCGCCTCTCTCCACCCCCTACTCTCCGAGGGAATGTCCCCCAGCTCAAGGCACAGTGGAAAACCCCACATTCTTCCCATCCCATCCTAATGACATTCCTGCCCCTTCCTCCTCTCTGGACCATATCCACCCATTGAGGCTTGGTACTCCTATCATTCCTTCCCTAGGGCCCAAGAAAAGGCTTTTGCTCACTCTACTGCCTCGATGGCCCCAGGCCCTTGGCTCCAGCAGCCCCCACCCCACATGGAGGCAGCAGCACCACGGCACTCCCCCCACCCAGTTTCTCCTGTGTCCTGGCGCCATGGGAGGGGCAGGTGACAGAGCTGGCAGCCACTGCAGCCAGGGGCTGGCTCTCCTGAGAGCGGGCCCTCACAGAGGAAGGCAGCCCTCCATGCAGGTGGCTAAAGTTCTCTGCTTATGTGGTCTGTTTCAGATAATTCCTGTAGAGAAATTAGTGAAAGGAAAATTCCAAGATAATTTTGAGTTTATTCAGTGGTTTAAGAAATTCTTTGACGCAAACTATGATGGAAAGGAATACAACCCTCTGCTGGCGCGGCAGGGCCAGGACGTAGCGCCACCTCCTAACCCAGGTGATCAGATCTTCAACAAATCCAAGAAACTCATTGGCACAGCAGGTAACATGCTGGGGGAGGGAGTGTGTGGGGCCGGGCCAGCCAGGAGCGCCTCCTGGGCCACTCGCCCGCCCGGCCCTGCCCGCCTAGAGGAGACTGTTATCACGGAGTTCAGATGACGCCGCCTGCTGCCCCCTTAGACCAGGGGGAGTCACGGCAGGGAGGAGAGGGCTCCAAAGACGCCACAGAAGGAGAGCCACTGGCCCCAGCCAAGGTGGCAGCGGCGGTGGGAGGCCCAGGCCCTTCCCTCTGCAGCAGGAGCTGACAGGTTTGCCTCGAGATGACGGGGCAGCACGTGGCATGGTTCCTCCGTCCAGGTCCATCCCGGCCAAGGGCCTGGTGCCTGCACTCCACATCCTCTTGCCCCCTGGACGCCGGGGACGGGACTCTGCCAGGCGTGGTCATATCTTCCCCCATTCCACAGGCCCATAGTCCTAAGTCCTCAAGAGACAAGCCTCTGGAAACAAGGCTTTGTCGGGGTTCTAGAGAAGAAGGGAAAGAAGCATAGGGCCTTTGGGGGACGGGAGGGTCGGGAGAGAAGGGGAGCGGAGCGGCCCCAGCCCGCATCTGAACCCGTCATAGCAGAGCCCTCCTGTTTGCGCTGCTGCCCCGCCTGGGCCTGGCCCCCTCACCTGCTTGCTTTGCGTTAGAAGCAGCGGCTCTGCCTAGGGAGCTGCCCAGCTAGAGAACAAGAGCCACAGCATGCTTGTCCCGGGGCAGGCAGCGGGAGGGGCAGGGCAGGTGTCTTTTCTGTCCTCCAGTCCCGAGACTCTGAGGTCACCCATATGGAGAGTGGCTTTGGGCTGCCAGGAGAGCTAGATCGAGACCCTGCCCCAGCTGCTTTCCCTCGGGCTTCAGCTGTCAGTACAAGAGGCGCCAACCCTCCCAGCCCCACTTCCCCAGTTCCCTAACCCTGTTTCCCTCATGTCTCCCTCCGCCAGCTCTCCTCCCTCCCACACCTCACCTGCCTCAGCTCCCTGTAGTCCCTGCTCTCCCAGGCTTGCAAAGGGCTGCCCAGCTGCTATGGTGTCATGTGTGGCCGTGGCGTGAGGCCTAGATGTAGAGCCCCCGAGTGGGAGAGGAGAGGAGGGCAGAGCACCTGCCTTTAGCAGGGGCCTGCCGCACACTCGTCACACCAGGCCGTCTCCTGCCACGGGGGCTCTGGGCTCACATGGCCCCTCCGAATTTCCTCCTCTGCGCAGTTCCACAGAGGACGTCCCCCACAGGCCCCAAAAACATGCAGACCTCCGGCCGGCTGAGCAACGTGGCCCCACCCTGCATCCTCCGGAAGAATCCCCCATCGGCCCGAAACGGTGGCCATGAGACTGATGCCCAAATTCTTGAACTTAACCAGCAGGTGAGTGGGGTGGGCGGGGGTAGCTGAGACAACCCTGCCTCCACAGCCAGGCCCGCGGGTGTCAGGGTGGGAAGGGGAGCCTGAGGCGGGACCTGCGGCTGGAACCCCACCTTCGCCCACGCAGCTATTGGATTTGAAGCTGACCGTGGATGGGCTGGAGAAGGAGCGTGACTTCTACTTCAGCAAACTCCGGGACATCGAGCTCATCTGCCAGGAACACGAGAGCGAGAACAGCCCCGTCATCGCGGGCATCATTGGCATTCTCTATGCCACCGAGGTGAGCCCTGCCTTCACCCGCGAATGTCCCAGGTCCCCTGGGCCCTCCCCCATCCCGCCTGGCCTAAGACTGGAAGAGACAGGACCCGAAGGAGCCTTGGAGAACATGGACGGTGAGGACAGCGAGCTGCAGTCACAAGCCCCAGGTCACAGAGAGCGTTAGCAGGGAAAGGACTGGAACCTTGCTCCCCAGCTACCTATACAATCCACACCTCCGCCTGCCTGCCTGGCTCACCCTGTCCTCTCTCTTCCCACCTCCAGGAAGGCTTTGCACCCCCTGAGGACGACGAGATTGAGGAACACCAACAAGAAGAACAGGACGAGTACTGAGGGCGGCTCCAGCCCTGGCTGACTGCACGCCCCCTACCCCACGCCCACCCCCACATTATAATCCTTTCCTTAGAGCGTCGGCCGGGTGCTTTGTGTCAGTGCCGCAGCATTGGGGAGTCAGGCGAGGGGGCTGGAGGGGTTGGGGCAGATGGGCAGGCAGAGGCCCGCACTGGCCAGTGGGTGGGACCCCTGCCCATTCCCCACCCCTATTTATTTCCGTTGTCTCTATGCTGTTTCGGCCAACACTTCCCAGGGTGCTGTGCCACCCGCCCCCGCCAGCCGCCTGCTCCCCTGACAGCCAGCAGCTGTATATTTGACAAAGTCATTGGTATATTTTTACTTACTGGATTTTCCTTGCACTTTACCTGTTCTTTTCCCAGGGCTCACAGCACGGGCTCCAGGGCAGTGTGCCTGGCTTGGCTTCCCTTCCCCATTGCCGGGCCATGGCAGGACTCACAATTCTTATTTATTTTGTCTTTTGACTCCCCAGTAGTTGAGGGAAGGCTGATGTCAGGAGAGGGAGAGGGGGACTGAGGAGAGGGTGCCTTAGGCCTCGGTGGTCAGGGAGAGGGAGGGGAGCATGCGAGGGATGAAAATGACCCCCTGGCACCAGACTCACCCACCCTGGGCCCCTTTCCCCAGCCCCAAAGCCCAACACTGCCCCGAGGCCCCCAGCCACTCCCTCCGCAGCCCGTTCATACCACACAGACTCTGCCCTGACCCTCCTGTACGTCTGCCTCCCATCCCCCCACCTCCCCACCCCTGCCTCCTTGGGCCACCCAGCCTGTGTATGTGTTCACTTTTATTTAAATAAACTTGTGTGGTAAAAGTCCATGCCATGTCTCCCTCAACTGAGCTACAGTCTGGGTCTCAAAGCTTTGCTCTCCCTGAGCACTCCCCTCTCAGAGCCATGGCCCCGTGCACAGCACCACGGTGGCCTTCCCTCATGTCTGCACACCACCGCTGGCACTCGGCCTCAGACCCCAGCCCCGACCCAGCCCCCATCTCCCAACACTGACGCCAGGGCTCTAAGACATAGATGCCTACCCCCAGTCCCTGAGGAAGAACAAGGTTTGGAGCCATGGTGGTGAGGATAGGCAGCCCAGTAAAGGGGCGGGGTGGGGATGGGGGGGAGGGGGTAACAGGGTGGCCTGGCCAAGGGGCCAGTTAGACTTCATGTTGTCCCGCACCTTTGTCAAGGCTCACACCCCCCAGAACAGTGCTCCAGCCGGGAACAAGGGCTCATCTGACAGAGAGAGCTGAGTGGGTTACAAAGAGTAAGCAACTCTGAGCACTGAAGTCCAGAGGACAGCCGTGCCCATGAGGCTCCTTCTACAGAACAAGGTCTCATGGGAACCAGGATCAAGAAGCTTTCACATCATCCACACAGCCCTGCCTGCCTGGTGTGTGTCCCAGCAAAGGGCCGTACTAACCAATGTCCTGGACATCCAACAAGCGCTACCAGGCCATTCAAATGAAGCCTTGCCGTCATGCCGCCCAGCGCCTTCATTTACTGATGAAGGGACCAAGGCCCACCTGGGGCATGACTTACTCAAGGTGGTAAAAACCTGGACCAGAATTCACACCTCCAGGTTCATGGTTGAGTACTTATCCCCAAAGACCACAGAGGTATTGCCCCCAGAATGTTCCTCTGGTTCAGGCTAGTCCTGGTAGCTGTCTCTTCACCATCCTGAGAGTGACTGAGCTACAGTTGGGGCTGCTGCTGCTGCGGCCCTGCTCCATGACCCTTCTTCCAGAGGACCCCCATTTCTCTAATGGCTCCAGACAGAAGCCTAAGATAAGCAACTCTTGCCTGCTCATTCCTCATTCACTTCTCCTCCTCCTTTTGACTCCCACCCCACATACAGACACTTCTGGCTTTATTTTATCTCTCTCTCTTTCTCCTCGAACAAGTTCATTGCCTGCTTTTATTGATCTTTTTTAAAAACTGTATTTTTATTGATTTCAGAGAAGAAGGGAGAGGGAGAGAGAGAGAAACATCAATGATGAGAAAGAACCTTGATTGACTGCTTCCTGCACGCCCCACACTGGGGGTTCAAGCCCACAACCCAGGCATGTGCCCTGACCGGAAATGGAACCGTGACCTCCTGGTTCATAGGTCAACGCTCAACCACTGAGCCATTGAGGCTGGGCAGCTTTTATTGATCTTTGTGATTTTTTAATCCCTTGCCTCCTTTTAAAAGGCCTTTCCTCCTTTATAGTATCCCAAGTAGATACTATAAAAGGATACAGTGGTTGTTCTGCGTTGTCCAGTGTTCATCTTCAGGCTCAGACCTCACCCTGCTGATAAAGTAGGTGTGGTAGGCAGAATAATGCCTCCCCCCAAAGATGTCCACATAATTCCCAGAACCTGCTAGGTTGCATAGCAAAGGGGAATTAAGGTTGTAGATAAAATTAAGTTGCTAATCAGTTGACCTGAAAATAAGGAGAGAATCCTGGGTTATCCAGGTATGAATCTCATCCTCACATGTAGGAATGTATACAAAATAGCACGTTTCCTTAATTGTGATAAATTACTTTCACTTCACCTTCCCTTGTCCTCCCCTGCTGGGAAGCTTCAAGCTTTGTGGTCTCACATTATATTACAAGCAAGGCAGGAGGCCCTCCAGGGATAGTGAATGTCTGAAGCAGTCACCTGTTGGAGTGGTTCCTCCGGTTTTTTGTTTTAATTTATTTGTATTGATTTTAGAGAGGAAGGGAGAGGGAGGGAGAGATAGAAACACCAATGATGAGAGAGAATCATTGATCGGCTGCCTCCTGCACATCCCCTACTGGGGATGGAGCCCGCAACCCAGGCATGTGCCCTTGACAGGAATCGAACCTGGGACCCGTCAGTCCACAGGCCGACGCTCTAGCCACAGAGCCAAACCAGCCAGGGCAGGTCTGCGGCTTTTGATCACTTACCCGCCACGTCTGGGACTTGGGACTGACAGCAGCCAGAGCCAGAGCCAGAGCCGCTTCTTTTCCATAGTCTGCAAGAGGAAACCCAGCCCTGGCTGTCCCAGGGCCCCAGACTCTTCTCTGCCTCCATTCAAAGAACTCTCCACTCTCCACCCTCCAAAAAGCGCCTCTTCCCTCGAGCTCCATCCTCTTCCCTGTTCCTGCACAATAGATTTTTACAGCCCATTCAACTCAAAGTTTAATCACCAGCAACAGAACACGAACACTTTCCTAGAGCGAAGGAAGCGTTTAATCTACAAACTCTCCTGGAGGGGAAGAGAACTGTTTCCATGCCATCCTTCTAGCACTACGAGAAAGAAAAACCGCATCAGCTAAATTAGCAAGTCACCTCATGCAGCGACCCTCACACAGTAGGTGCTCCATGACAGTTTGCTAAGCGTAATAGCCTCCGTCTCAACACCTTTGTTTTGTTTGTTTTTTTGTTTTTTTTTTCCTTTTTTTTTTTTCTTTAATTTTTTACAAAAGGTTTTCC